TGGGATTAAAGGTGTGTGCCACCAGTGCCTAGCTCTGTTTCTCTCCTAGATTGAATCAACCTCATTTAGTCCAAGGTGGCTTTCAACTCACAGAGATCCAGACAGACCTCTGCCTCCAGAATGCTAGGATTAAAGGCATGTGCTACCACTGCCTGGCCTGTATATTTAATCTAGTGGATGGCCCTGTCCTCCAATCCTCAGACAAGCTTTATTTGATAGACATTATATCATATTATCTCTTTTTTTGTCTAAAATTATAGGAGAAGGTTATAACTAATATAAGAAAAACTATATAAATAAGTATATACAATATATATAGTTAATAATTATATTAACAATGTCCAGACCATAAACATTTGACAAATTCAGAGAAAATATCCATCATTTATCCTATTTTGGTGAGTGCAAAGTGTTGTACCTAATTCACTTTCTATCCTAACTTGTCTTACCAACCCAAAACTTTCTTTGGATGTCTTTCTGTCTTATATACTTTACACCTCTTTCAGTGAGTTTCTCTTCTGAATTTGTTAACAAGGAAAAATAGAACTAAGACTATCTAATCTTCAATTCCATCAGAGACCCGAGAAGGAAATGATATTAACTGAGTAAGCAGGAAGTACAAACAACTGACTTCCAAAAAATGTGAGAAATGACAGGTACAGCTGACTGCCTGGACATTCACCCAAGGTTCCCCTGCAACATTGGTCCCTCTGTCTTCAGCCTACAAGCTTAGTGTATCTGACAGACTTTTCTGTGAAACAGGATAATCTCAAGGGCCTTCCTACAGTTCCAGAGATCTTTCAACTACAGACCTCTCAAACTGTAAACAAGCTACACCAATTCAATGTTTTCCTTATAAGAGTTGTCTGTTTCATGGTGTCTTTTCACAGCAATATAAACCCTACTTGAGACAACTCTTCAAAGAGCTAAGAAGATCAAAGTGTGAGAATAATTTGATACAAAGAACACACCTACTGCCAAGGCCTTGGTTTTTATTGTTCTTATTCCATGAATCATGTCTACACTCTTTAGAAAAATACCTAGTTATAGAATCAAGATAGGAAATGTAGGTGAATCTGAAGCTTCTTGTAGTGTCAGAAATTAAGAATGTATTCAAAATGAAAGCAAACACAATGTTGGAGATATCCAGAGACCTTTCTACAGCATAATGTCAGCAGTCAAGGCAAGGAAACTCTCTTGCCTGCTGGCTCACTTTTCCCAGAAAGAAAATAAACTCTATGTGGAGTTTTTACAATGCTCATCATCTTCTCTGAAGTAGATTCATGCTGCCAGGAGCTGATGTCTCATAGTCATTAAAAAAAATTTTTTTTTTCAGAAAGCAAAAAACTCATTTCCAAAGTGACCACAAAAGTTTGCATTCCCACCAACAGTGTAGGAGTGTTCCCCTTGCTCCATATCTACTCCAACATAAGCTGTCTTCAGTGTTTTTGATCTTAGCCATTCTGACAGGTGTAAGATGCTATCTCAGAGACATTTTGATTTGCATATCCCTGATGAATAAGGATGTTGAGCAATTCCTTCAATTCTTTCAGCCATTTGAGATTCTTCTGTTGAGAATTCTCTGTTTATCACTATTGCCCATTTTTTAATTGGATTGTTAGGTATTTTGATGTCTAGTTTCCTGACTTCTTTACATATTCTGGAGATCAGCCCTCTGTCACATGTGGTGTTGGTGAAGATCTTTTTCCCATTCTGTAGGCTGTCGTTTGGTCTTCTTCACCATGTCCTTTGCCCTACAAAAGCTTCTCCGTTTCAAGAGGTCCCATTTATTCATTGTTGCTCTCAGTGTCTGTGCTACTGGTGTTATATTTAGGAAGTGGTCTCTGGTACCAATGTGTTCAAGACTACTTGCTACTTTCAATCTTCCTCAAGACCCAGCTAGACCACTCTTGGGCATATACCCAAGGAATGCTCAAAAATACCACAAGGACACATGTTCAACTATGTTCTTAGCAGCATTATTTGGAATAGCCAGGACCTGGAAACAACCTAGATGCCCCCCAACTGAAGAATGGATGAAGAAAATGTGGTGCATATACACAATGGAGTACTAGCCAGCAGAGAAAAACAATGACATGATGAGGTTTGCAGGCAAATGAATGGAACTAGAAACTATCATCCTGAGTTAGGTAACCCAGACTCAGAAGGACAAACATGGTATGTACTCACTCATAAGTGGATACTAGATGTGAGGCAAAGGATAAGCAGACTGCAACCCACAGCTCCAGGGAGGCTAGCTAGGAAGGAGGGCCCTAAGATGGATGCATGGATTGCCCAGTGAGGGAGAAAAGGATGAGATCTAAATGAGCAAACTGGGGGTGAGGGCGTATAACGGGGGGGGGGGGGGGGGGGGGGGGGGGGGGGGGGGGCAAGGGATGAGGGATGAGAGCTTAGGGGAGTAGGAGGTTGGAGCTGGAACGGGAACAGAGTGGGAGAGCAAGGAAAGAGACACCATAATAAATGAAGACACCATGGGCACAGGGAGAAGCAGAGTGCTAGGGAGGTTCCCAGAAATCCACAAGGATGACTCCACCATAGACTACTGGCAATAGTCGAGAGGGTGCCTGAGCTGGCATACTCTGGTGATGGGATGGCTGAATACCCTAACTGTCATCATAGAACCCTCATCCAGTGACTGAAGGAGGCACATGCAGAGATCCATGACTGGGTCCTAGGCGGAGCTCTAGGAGTCCAATGGATGCGAGAGAGAGGAGGGATTCTATGAGCAAGAGACATGGAGACCATGACTGGAAAAAGTACAGAGACAACTACCAAACTAGTGGAAATGCATGAACTGTGGACCAATAGCTGAGGAGCCCCCATGGTACTGGACTAGGCCCTCTGGATAAGCCAGACAGGTGTTTAGCTTGAACTGTGCAGGGGGCTCCCAGGCAGTTGGATCGGGACCTGTCCCTTGTGCATGAGCTGGCTTTTTGGAACCTAGTGCCTATGGTGAGACATTTTGTGCAACCTCGGTGCAGGAAGGAGGGGCTTGGACCTGCCTCAACTGAATATACCAGGCCCTGCTGACTCCCCATGGGAGACCTTGCCTTGGAGGAGGTGGGAATGGGGTGTATGAGGTGGGGGAGGGAGTCTGCGGGGCAGGAGGAAGGAGGACAGGGAATCTGTGGTTGATATGTGAAATGAATAGAAAACATCTTATTAAAAAATTACTTTAAAAAATCATGGTTGCATTTCCATTTAAATAAATAAAAATGTTATTACAACATCTTAAATGTCATATTCTGCAGCTCTCTGAAGTATCTGAAGACTCTCTAAAATATCTGTTTGAACTTGAAAACATACCTAACATAAATACAAGTTCTATTGTAATGACTAGCTACTAACTTTTATTTTTTATATCCTAATGAGTTGGTTATAAGTTTTAAGGTCTAGCAATTTGCATTACATTGTTAAATGAACAAGGGTAGACATTTGTACAGTATATTCCGACAGGATCAATATTAACTTCAGATCAACGTTCACAATTTGTGTACAAATACAAATTCCAATCCAATGTGAAATATTTAAAACTAATTGTTGCTTTTTAAAAGTAGAATCAATGATCTACCTTTTATCTTATATCTATATTCCTGTTTTTCTTTTCAGAGTAGATTAAAAAATCTACCCTTTTATCCTATCATTTCTACATTTTTTTCCAGGGTAGATTTAATAATCTACCTCTTATCTCATGGTATCTAAATTCTCTTCTTTCTTTTTTTTTTTTTCAAACAAGAACCCTGAATCTAATCTCCTTTGTTTAGCTTTTTTTTCTGACTACTACCAACAACAACTTGTAACCAAACACCCTAAACAATGGCAATTATTCATAACTCATTGAATGACCAAAAACCACCCACTGGTAAGACAAATTGCTAAACGGTCTTACAAATAAAATACAAACAAACAAACTAACAAACTGACAAAAAAACAAAAAGAACAAGATAAAAAAAAAAAAAAAACAGGCGCCAGATGTGAGAGTAAATTCTGAGAGGTCAGAGGGTTAGGACAAGCCAAAGCCAACCTCTCCTTACCAACCCTCTGCTTCCAAAGAGACCTACTCCCTGGAGACCCACGTCCACATTCCTCTCTGCTGTGCTAACTCACTTCCCCCCTGCACCCAACACCATCACTTCCTCTTCCTGCCTGGCTCTGTCTGTCCCGTCCTGTCTGTCTGTCCAGACCTGCAGACCTCTATGGTTAACTAGTGTTGGAATTGGATGTGTGAGCCACCACAGGTGGCTCTGTTCCCAGTGTGGCCTTGAACTCACAGAGATCCAGACAGATCCCTGCCTCCCCAGTGATAGGCTGAAAGGCGTGTGCTACCATTGCCTGACTTGAATGTTTACTATGGTGGCTGGCTTTTTCCTCTGACCCTCAGATAAACTTTATTGGGGGATACAAATAAAATGTCACCACAAATTTTATTGGGGGATACAAATAAAATATCACTACAAATCTTTATTGGGGGATACAAATAAAATATCACCACACCCACCCTACCTCTTGGGAATATGGGCGTCATTGTCCTCCTGTTCTTCAAATTACTTCCTGTTGCCTGGGGGGAGGGGGCGATGGCATCTTTAGGGGACCCAGAAAAGAAATATTTGGGGGTTCATTGTCAAGTCCTTTGAGAGAAGTAGCTGTGTCCTTTGCTGTCCAGTCTCTGCATCACTGGAGAGTGCAGGGCTTGTCTCAGGTCTTGGCTAGAGTAGTCTGTGAGGCTGGATCTCCAGTAGCCATCTGGAAATTGTCCTGAGCAGTTTGTAGTCCAAAGCATGCCTTTAGTAGATGGTGTCACTCATCTTAACGGTGTCCTCAAGGTCTTGGTGGAACTGTTGTTGTGGGATCCCATCATCTTTTTAGGACTTCAGAGATCCCATTAGGTCAGATTATTCCTTTTCTCAGTGAATTTTTTCTTTCGGGGTAGTTCTCTGCTCTTCTTTGGGTATTTATTTTGCCACAGGTCTTCCAGTTCTTCAAGCAATGCGTGTGGAGATCTCCATTTCTTCCGGAAACTCTGCTACATTCACTGCAAACCGGCCCTGGACGTCACTGAGGATGTGTCCATCACTCTCCTCAGATACAAAAGTGAGCGCCAGGCCTCTGGTACCAAAGCGACCAGCACGAGCCACTCGGTGAAGGTAGGTATCTGAGTCCTCTGGCATGTCATAGTTGAAGACGACGTCGACTTGCTGGATGTCCATACCTCTGCCAAACAGGTTGGTAGCCACCAGGATGCGCCACTGGAAGTCCTTGAACTGCTGGAAGCGGGACAGGCGCTCCTCCTGGTGCATGGCTCGGTGAATAGCAGTGACTGGGAAGTTCTGTTCCACTAGGATCTGGGCCAGGGCCATGCAACGCTGCACAGACCTGACAAAGATCACCCACCTGGTTAAACTCGAGGACATCGAGGAGGTCGCAGAGCTTCCGGTTCTTCTGGCTCTCCTTGAGCTTGACGTAGTACTGCTGGAGGCTGTGCAGGGAGAGCTTGCTCTCGTCCTCCACACACACCTCCATGGGATCCTGCATGAACTTCCTGCACACGGGCCGGATCTCCTTGCTCAGGGTGGCGCTGAACATCATGCACTGCTTCTCGTGGGGCGTCACTCGAAAGATGGCCTGCACGTCCTGCCGCATGGCCAGCTGTCCCAGCATCTTGTCACATTCGTCTAGCACAAAGTGCTTCACGTTCCTCAGGTTGAGGCTCCCTCTGCGGACCAGTGCCAGGATCCGGCCTGGGGTCCCCACCACCACGTGGGGACGGTTCTTCTTCAACACCTCTTCGTCCTTCTTGATGGAGAGGCCCCCAAAGAACACGGATACCTTCACGCTGGCCATGTACTTGGAGAAGCGCTCATACTCCTTGCTGATCTGGAAGGCCAGCTCCCTGGTGTGGCACATGACCAGTACCGACACGGGGCCGTCCACGGGCTCCATCTGCTGCAGGGTGGCCAGCACAAACACCGCCGTCTTGCCCATCCCAGACTTGGCCTGCCACAGGACATCTATACCCAGAATGGCCTGGGGAAGACACTCATGCTGGACCTCCGAAGGAGGCTCAAAGCCACACTCCACTAGGACTCTCAGGAGCTCCGGCTTCAGCAGAAAGTCCCGGAAACTACAACTGTGAACGGAGACATAAGATCCTTGGACCTCTTTCTTCGGGGGAGCTGGGGTGCTCTCCTGGGCTGCTTGGGGCTCTTCAAATTCATCATAATCCAAAAGCTGGTCTTCCACATCCTGTTCTGCCATGGCACTGTCGCCCATTTCGGGTTGGCCTCCACAAGCTGGGAGGAGAGCTGCCAGCTGTCCTTCTGCTCCTAAGTCCTGCCCCTAGGGACAATGACCTCAGCTGCAACACTTCTACCTGGGAGCCCGACTTGGGTTTTGCTCCCCGACTTGGGTCTTGCTCCCTGGGCCGTTGGCTTTTCACTTACCACGTCGGGCACCAGGTGTCGCACAAAATCTTAAATGGCCCTTTTTAAAAATCAAACAAAACAAAACCGGCAGCCAGATATTAGTGTAAAGATCAGAGAAACCAAAGAACAAACCACTGCCAACGTCTGGCCTCCGCAACTCCGCCAAGTCTCTCTTTGAAAGCCTCTGAGTCCTCAGCCCAAAGGGACTCAGTGCCTGTGTCCTCAAGCCTTGATATACCTTTCTCCAACCAATCAGATCACTTCCTCGCTGGTGCTGGAATTTAAGGCATGTGATTCTCAAGGACTGGGATTAAAGGTGTGGCCACCACTGCCTGGCTTGGTTCTCACTTAGATTGAATTAATCTCCTGTAGTTCAGGGTGGCTTGGAACTCACAGCTCCAGACAGATGTCAGCCTCCCGAGTGCAAGGCCACCACTGCCTGTGTGCCACCGCTGCCTGGCCTCCGTGTTTAATCTCATGGCTTGCACTGCCCTCTGATCCTCAGGCAAGCTTCATTTGATACACAATAGACCATCACATCCCCCCCTTTTTTTGTCGGTCTAAACTAATACAAGAAGGTGATAACTAATAGAAGAAAAACTATATACATAAGTATATACGATATATACAGTCAATCATTACATTCCCAATGTCCAGTCCAAAAACATTTGACAAATTCAGAGAAAATATCCATCATTTATCCTATTTTGGTGAGTGCAAAGTGTTGTACCTAATTCCCTTTCTATCCTAACTTGTCTTACCAACCCAAAACTTTCTTTGGATGTCTTTTGGTCTTATACACTTTACACCTCTTTCAGTGAGATTCTTTTCTGAATTTGTTAACAAGGAAAACTAGAACTAAGACTATCTAATCTTCATCTCCATCAGAGACCCGAGAAGGAAATAATATTAACTGAGTAAGCAGGAAGTGCAAACAACTGACTTCCAAAAAATGTGACAAATGACAGGAGCAGCTGACTGCCTGGACAGTCACCCACGTTTCCCCTGCAACATTGGGGCATCCATCTTCGACCTTTTAGTTTCAAATTTTCTCTTTTATTATTAATGTGTTTTCATGCCTATGATATGTGTTTTGGGCACACACATGTGGAGGTCAGAGGAGGGCTTTGTGGAGTCAGTTCTCCTCTGTTTCCTTTATGTGAGTTCTAGGATCTGAACTTAGATCATCACGCTTGCTTGTTAATCATCTTACCTGATGAGCCATGGTGATGACCCCTAAATTCAATGATTTGTGCTATGTAGTATTATAAATAGTGCTGGACCCCAAAGTTTAGGGTCTCAAGCAGGCGCCCCAAGAACCCAGACTCCAGTCCAGTTGATGCAACAACTGGAGGATTTATTAAGCTTCTATATAGAAGGCCTCCTCTGCTCCCAAGATTAAGAGTCATGTCTTACTGCAGCCCCATAAGGGCTCTTAAAGGAGAAACCCACAAAACCCACAAGATTACAATTCCCATACAATATCATGGCCTGATCACAGGGTGATCACAGAGTGGGTACAGTCATGCCCGCATGCACATTCTTCCTGAAACCTCAAGGGGGGGGGGGTATCAGGGCAGGAGTGGAGTTTACACAAAGGTCACAGTGGTCCTTCCTGGAACACTTGCAACTATCCCAGTCACAGTTGAGCACATCTCTTAACAGAATCTTTTTACATTGTTACATTGTTAGAGGGGTGATTGAGTAGTGGCTGAGTCAGGTTGCCCTTGGAACTAGTTTTCTTTTTAGTTCTTTGTTTCCTGGGGCTTGGGGGTGTAAGCCTGAAGGGTTAGGGACTTTCAATAGAACTGCTGATTCATACCGTAATTTTATTAAACTGTTTTTCATTTTATTTTTAAGAGTCTCACTTTTCAGCTCTGATGGGATAGAATTGTTGTGTGGGACAATCTAACCCTGAATTTATGGTAATTCTTTTGCCACAGCCACCAGAAGAGATACCCAGCTATCATTTTAAATTTTTAAGAGAATTCAAAATTGTTTTCCACAGTAGTTACATGATTTCATTTGCCGCTGGGCAATTCAAAATGTTTCTACTTTCTCTGCATTTTCTCCAACACTTGGTTTTTGATTTTTAGTTTTTTGTTTGTTTTATGTTTTCTGCCTTTTAAAAACTGATTTATTGCCAGGCAGTGGTGGTGCACATCTTTAATCTCAGCACTCAGGAGGCAGAGGCCAGCAGATCTTTGTAAGTTCGAGGTCTGCCTAGACTACTGAGTAAGTTCTAGGACAGTTATAGCTACACAGAGAAACCTTGTCTCGAAAAACAAAAATTTAGGAACTATACATAGTGAGCCGTACCTTTAATCACAGCTGAGCTGAGTATAGTGAGCAGTACCTTTAGTCCCAGCTCTTGGAAGGCAGAGGCAGGCAGATCTCTGAGTTTGAGGACAGCCAGGGCTACACAGATAAACCCTGTCTCTAAATAAATAAATAAGACCATTCTCACAAGGTTTGTGAGTTAAGAGGCCAAACTGACTCCAGAGTGAGGAGATCTGGTCTTAAATCAATCAGTCAATCAATCAATCAATTCATTCATTAAAAAATAAGGACCATTCCAAATGGTACATACTCACTTCTTCCCTTTAGGGGATCAAGCCTAGGTTCTCACATACATGCTAGGCAAGCACTCTACTGTTGAGCCACACCCTTAGCCTTACCACCTACATTTTTTTTTTTTTTAACATTTGGGAAACAATACTTTGACAGAAGAAAGAACCATTCTGGCACTGTTTCTTAACCACCATAGTTTTTGGTTTACCTGGTGGTAATTTGTTCATTGAGACACTACAGTTAGTAGAGCATCCAAGTGAATCCATTAACCAAGCTTTCTGAAAGCAGTTAACACCTTCTATCCTGTAGTATAGGGCAACCATATCCTGTGGCTCTGTTGATTTTATTCCTTGTGACCGGCATGTAGTATTAAAAATCAAATGGATTTGCCACTGTTTCTCCCACGCCTCCATTCTGGGGTGACATCACTTTACCCATAGATTAGATTCTCAACCCTCAGAGAAGATTTTTCAGTGGGTGGCAATTAACACAGCACCCCTCAACTAGGCAACACATGGAGGATACGAGACTTTAGAGTTCTCAGCCCTAAATGGGACATCTATATCATACTCACTGGCTCCCTTCAAGGCTCAGGGATCATCATGGAAGCAGGGGTAGAAAGACTGTAAGATCCAGATGTGGTGATATTGTGTTCCCCAAAATATTGTGCACCCTAATAAACTTATCTGGGGTCAGAGAACAGAACAGTCACTAGATATAGAGGCCAGAAAATGGTGGCACACACGCCTTTAATCCTAGCATTCCAGAGGCAGAGATCCACCTGGATCTCTGTGAGTTCAAAGCCACACTGGAAGCAGCCAGGCATGGTGACTCACGCCTTTAATCTCAGGAAGTGATGGCAGGAAACAGAAAGGTATATAAGGCGGCGTGAGGACCAGGAACTAGAACTGGTTAAGCTTTCAGGCTTTTGAGAGGCAGTTCAGCTGAGATCTATTTAGATGAGGACTCAGAGGCTTCCAGTCTGAGGAAACAGGATCAGCTGAGGAATTGGCGAGGTGAGGTGGCTGTGGCTTGCTCTGCTTCTCTGATCTTTCAGGATTTACCCCAATACCTGGCTTCGGGTTTGTTTTTATTAATAAGACCTTTTAAGATTCGTGCTACATCCAGAGGCTGTAGGGGACTACATGGAAAGAGTTTCCTGGACACAACCGGGTATCTACAAGTAGAAACTCACTGTGGTTGTCATAGCATGCACAAGACCTGACCAAGAACAAGCCTAGACAAAAATTTCAGCCTGGAGTGGGAAGGAGGTCAAGAAGTCCCACCTCTAGCTGAAGAGTTGACAACTGATAGCTGCTGGCAGAGAAAGTTTGTCTTCTTTAAAGGTATGGCTTCTGACAGGTCGACCACATTGCAGGGGATGCCGAACACTCAGAAGTATGTGGGCAACACAAATTGGGCTTGGTGGGGTATTTTTAAAAAAAGAGGGGGCTAGAGAGATGGCTCAGTGGTTTAGAGCGCTTGTTAATCTTATAGAGGACCTGGGTTTGATTTCCAGCATTCACGTGGTGGCTCACAACCATCCGTAACTCCAGTTCCAGGGCATTTGACACCCTCTTCTGATCCCTACAGGCACCAGGCATGTATATGGTACACTTACTTACATGCAAGTAAAACACTCATTCACATAAAAATAAGATAAATCCAACCCCTGGGATCACAGGCCTGTGCTACTACATGTGGTGATATTTTATTTGTACTCTAACAAATAACGCTTGCCTGGGGATCAGAGGATAAAGCCCAGCCACTATAGTAAATATAGAGGTCAAGCAATGGTAGCACACACCTTTAATCCTAGCATTCGGGAGACAGAGATTCATCTGGATCTCTGTGAGTTCAAGGCCACACTCAGGACAGAGCCAGGCATGGTGGCACATGCCTTTAATCCCTGCACTGGTTAACCATGGAGGTCTGGAGGTCTGTACAGACGGACAGGAAATGACAGAGCTTAGCGGAAAGAGGAAGTGATGTAGCTGGGCAGAGAGAGGAAGGATGATGGCAGGGTACAGACAGGATATAGACGTGAGTATACAGGAAGTAGCTTTCTCTTGGACTGAGGATTTCCTAGCGGTAAGAACTTGTAGCTGGCTTGTTCTATTCCTTTGATCTCTCAGCTTTCAACCCCATAATCTGACTCTGGGTTTTTTACTAATAAGACCTTTTAGCAATTCGTGTTACAGCTACACTTGGCCTTTTTGTTTGTTTTGTTTTTAAAGAGGACATAAGTTGGGGGAGGTATGG